TATCTGTACACATATATATATATAAATAGCTTTTTTTTGGTTTTAAATAATAATAATAAAAAATATAAATATAAACCCAAAAAAAAAAGCCCGAAACAGATTTTTAAATAAATTTATAAGTTTTATTGGTTTTAATAAGAGAAAAAGAAAGGAAATGAATTTAATTTTAAAAAAAAAACCCCCCCCATATAATAAACAGAGTAAAGTTAAACTGTATAATTTTTACCTCCTCCTATTATATTTCTGCAGCTTGCATAACTAAAAATTTATGTTTTATATGTTTCAAATTCGTTTTAATAAATAATACATAAAAACAGAAACAAAACAAAAACAAAAAAATATAAAAATAAATAAATTGAAAAAAAAAAAAGACATTCCCCAAATTTTTTTTAAATTGCTGACAACACAGCTTTTTTTTTTTTTTTAAAAAAAAACAAAAAAAAAAATCTTGCTTTTTACCCATTAAAAAATGAAACTAATAAGTATTACTACTACATCTAATCACATGATTAAAATCAAACTAACTCAATCATTGATAATGAACGAATACGTAATTTAAAAAAAAAAACAATTTTTTTTTTTTTGTAATTGTTGAAAGATGACATTTTATTCCAATAAAAGATGAGAATATTTCATTTATTTATTTACATATAGTATATTGAGAAAAAATTTTAGTTAACAAAAATATTAGAACGATATATTATAATTTATTTATTTTTATTCCTTTTCTTTTTCTCTTATGAGTTATATATATAAAACTTTGAATAATTCAATAAACTGTAATTAGATGGATGGAGGGGCTTCACCTTCTGGACCAATGTATTTTTCATCTCTCCATGGACCAACATCACTTAATAACAAACCACCTTCAGCATCAGAAACTTCAGATTCACCACCAAATTTGACTGGCAAGTTAGCAGCATCAATTTGTTTCAAAAGATCTTTCTTATAAGAACTACTCAAAATAAAGATTTTAGAAACGGTGATAGGATCTAAGAAAGGCTTGAATAATTTAAAAGCTGTGGAAAAACCAAATGGTGCGTTTATCAAATAAAACTTACCCATTCTTTCAGGATAATAGTTTTGACCAATGTAAGAAGCTTCTTTAACATAGGTGATGACATTATAAGCTGCTGATAAAGAGATACCCTTTAAATCTAAAATTGTACAAGAGGTTTCAACTAAGTGATTTTCAAATCTGGAACATGCTGGTAACCTGTATAATTCAAAGATTTCATATTCTTTGATTAAATTGTTTAACATTCTCTTTTCATCAGTAAAATTCAATAGTTCAGTTAAGTTAACTTTACCTAGTTCTTCATAATAAACTGGTCTACCATCTTTATCGTTCTTGTGATAGTATTGTGGATAATATTTAGCAACAATTGGTTTTTCTTCATAATGGAAATCTTCAATAATTGTATCAATTTTATTTTCATGTCTCCACTTTTGACAGTTGAAAAACATTTCATAAGCTAATTTAACATCGAATTTTCTTGCTCTTAGAAATCTTAATAAAGTTAAATCATCACATCTTTCCTTATTAATAATTTCTGCTGCATTTTCAGTATTGGAAGTAATGTTTTCATCAATTAAATCCTTTAAGTTTTTTAGAGCAACTTCTTGTTCAGCAGTTAAATTACCATATGTTCCTGGTAAAGAACCTTCTTGAGAGTTATGTGGGAAAGATTCGTTTAATTCCTTAAGTGTACACTTCATTTTTATTGTGACTTGGGTTTTAATGTTTTTTTTTTGTTATAATATAGCAAGTAAAAACTCATATTTAATAGTATTATTATTAGCTCGTTGTCCCAAAAAAAAAAAAAATTAAATAATAATAATAATACAAAAAGCTAAAGGAAGAAGAAAATTTCCTTTTTTTGAAAAAAAATTTTTTTTTTTTTCATATGGATATTGATACACACACACACGATAATACCTTTATTAACGAAAAGGGAGTTTTCCCAAAAGTCATGTGATTACTATTATTTTTTTTTTTCAAAATAGTTAAGATGTATTTTGCAAAGTTTACGCGTTTTTCTAACAAATTTTTTCTTTTTTAAATACACGCTTACTAAAGAGAAATATGAAATATTTTATTTATATAAATAATTAATATTATAATTTTACACATAATTTTTATTGTTAAACCAAAGAATTAGAAATAACTAAATAATATATATATACATTGAGTAGAAAAAAAAATGGGTATTTTTGATAATATTGAAGATACAAAACTTCTTCAAAATAACCAGATTGCAAGATCAGAAACTACTTTAACATATGGTGAATTACATGATAAAAATATAACAAATGATACACAAAATTTAACATCAGACCTTCCAAAAGTTGTTAATAGAGATTATAATTTTGAAAACAAAAATTCTGAAAAGTTGAATGATCAAATACATGTTAATATAAATGAAAAATGTTTCAATGAAAATATTGAATTAGAAAGAAACAAAGCTGACTTTTTGAATGAAAAAACTATAGATGTTATACCAACAAAAAATTCTAACAACAACAAGTATATATCTTTTTTGAAAAAGAAAACAGGCAGCATTACAAAGTTGAAAAAAAGAGAAATTTATTTAAGGAAAGATAATATCATTAACTCTTTAAAAGATTCTAAATTGGAAGATGAAAATTTTTATTTTTTAAGTGAAGACAACAAATTCACTAAACACACTTTTAACCAAAAAATATTTTCTGAATTTGGAAAATCAGAAAGTAATTATGGGATGAATGTTGCAGAATTGTTAAATCAAATAGATTTGGAAAAGGATACTACTGAAAAAGAAGATACTAAACTTGATCTTCCAAGTGAAAATGAAAAATTGGGTGCTAAGTTATGGGTTGATAAATACAAACCATCTAATTTTTTGGATATAGTTGGACATGAGGAAAATAAAATGCATATAATGAGATGGCTTAAAATGTGGTCATTATCCACAGGTGGATGTTCTAATCAATTTTGTGAGGAGAATGTAAATGATCCATATAGAAGACCAGAAAAAAAAATCTTAATGATTGAAGGAAAAACAGGAATAGGAAAAAATTTATTGATTGAAATTTTGGCTTCCAATTGTGGTTATAATTTGCTAGAAGTTAATGGAAGTGACCGTATTAATGGTAATGTTAAACAATGGCTCTCCAACATCATTCATACAAATAGTTCTGTACTAGGGAAAAAAGCAATTAATTGTTTATTATTTGATGAAGCTTCAAATGACATAAATGATATTAATGCAAATTTGGTTGATATTTTAAAGCAAGATGAAAAATTGACTAATGAATGTATTGGAATTTCATTTAAAAATGGGAAAAAAAATGATGCTCAAAAAAAATTGTCAGCTATAAAAAATAAATTAATTAAAAAACCTATATTTTGTTTGACTGATAATTTATCATCTAGAAAATTAGCCTCTTTGAAACCATTTTGTGAAATAATCAAATTAAAACAACCCAGTTTAGATGATATATCATCACATATTCAAAGAATATTGTCAATTGAACTAGGAATTGATCCAGATGATATAAACCTACCTAATATTAATAGATTTATTGAAATTTGTAATGGTGATATAAGAAATTGTTTAAACAATTTACAATTTGATATAATTGATGACTCTATGAATCTGATTAAATCAGTTAATCAGGATTTGAATTTTTCAGATTCAGTGTCTCTCTTTTCTTTTCAAGGAAAGGACAAAAAGAAATCTTGGCTGAATATAATGTTTGATTTATTTGAACCTTCAAATTCACAAAAAGATCTGAAATCAATTACTCATAATTTAGTTAAAGAACTTGAAAAACATGAACTTTCTTTTAATAATATGATCCAACTATCATTTGATAACTATCCAAATCTTATTCCTAACATGGAAAACACATCTTTGTTGAAATATGAAACCGATTTAAATGCTATTCATGACAGTCTTTTCTTTTGGGATTTAATGAGTAATTCATCAGATTTTAACATTAGATTAACTAGTTACAATATTGTGACAGTATTACAGTTTTTCAATTTCAATTATAATATCTACAAAGGAAGTAGCAAGTCATACAAGAAACTGAATAAGAATTTAATTAAATTAAATGTTTGGAATCCTAAATTCACACAAGTGAGAAGTGATGTTAAAGAACTCATTTCTTTTTTTAAAAGACCTTATAAAATTAAACTTTTAGGGTTTGAAACAGATTTTTACAATAATTACACTACAAAACAGTTATGCCAAGAGTTTTTACCTGTGTTAAGCTCTCTAGTTAATTCAGATTTTATAAATTGTATTAAGAAAGCTGATAAAAGAGATGAAATCATATTAGAGATTTGGAAAATCTTAAAGACTAAAGAGATTAATTTTATTAAGAAAAAAAATACTTTTTCTAATTCCTTTGACATATTTTTGTCAAGAAATATATCTCTTATTAACGTATACAATAATTTTGAAAATATATCCAGTAGTCAAAATGCTTTTAAGTTAAATGAACCTGCTATAGATCCAATAAAAAACAAGCAACTAGAGAATTTGAAAAAAGATACTTTATATGAGAGATTAGGATTATTATTTGATTCTGGATACAATTCAAATAATATTAGCTCTAGGTATAGTTTTACATCTAAAAAATTTGAAGAATTCAACTACAAATCAATTGAAAAAGCAAGAGCAACAAAAAGAAAATTAGTAGATACAGATAATACTTCTTCCCAATTAAACGAGCCTCCTAACAAGATGGCCAAAAAAACTATAACCAGACAAGAGCAAAATTCTTTAAGTTCCTTGATGAGAAAACCAACCAATTTGAATGGGGATATAAATAATACTCAACAGGATGATGAAGGTCGTACTTGGATTAAATTTAAAGAAGGGTTTAGTAATGCTGTTAAGAAGAAAGTTACATGGGATTCCTTATTTTCATAAACTAATATATATATATATATATATATTGTATTTTTTTTTTAAAAAAAAAATACTACAATAAAAAAAATAATTAACAAATGCTCAATAACAGGATCGAACTGTTGACCTTAGTGTTATTAGCACTACGCTCTAAACCAACTGAGCTAATCGAGCTTTAGTTAATTAATATGTCAAAAAAATTGTTTCATTTTTCTTAAAGGACATACACAACTCATTTTTTGCATGTCTTTTACATTATATGTTGTATTTTATATATTAAATAGTATATAATATTGATTAAAAAAATATGGAAAAAAGCAATGAAATACGTTAGTTAATAAATATATATTTTTAATGTTACAAATTTTTTTTGTTTAGTTTGCTTGTGAAAATTATATTTTGTTAAAATATTTTCGGTTATCATTAAAAACATAATGCATATAATATATTTGTAATTTTTTTCCCACTCTTTCGAAAAGCCTATCTTTTTTTTTTTTGCAATTTTTTATTTTTATTCTTTTTTTTCTTGTATTTTTTTATGCAAATTCCATAAAAGAAGAAGACAATAAATTAAAAAAAAAAAAAATTACTCAATACACCATTGATAATTACTTTACTTAATATAACATAATATGACTGATAATAGTGGCTTTGCTTATTATAAAGTCTATGAAGAAACTATTAAACAAGAAGAGTGTGAAAGGATTCTAGATGATTTAATTTTAAATCCTAACATGGTTGCAGATAACACTCGAAACCCTAATAATGGACATTTTACATCTTCTATTTCACAACAAATACCTGAATATGACAAAAATTACCAGAAAAATGATAATCAGTTTGATGGTTCAACTTTTTTACATAACAATAACCTCAATGGCTTTGAATTATCAAATTACCAACGTATAAATAGTGATAATAATATAGTACAAAATAATATGTTTAATCAAGAGATTAACAATTTAGGTTTTAAAAATACAAATGCCGTTTCTGTTCATACAGAAAAATTTACACCAGATATTTTTCCATCGATACAAACCCAAAATGATAGTTTTAATCCTAAATCTGGAGATTCTTCAGTAAATAATATATCTAAAAAAGTCCATATGGATTTGCAGAATGAAAACTTAACTGAAGAAGAAAAGAAGAAAAAAATAAATAGGGATGCACAAAGGGCTTTTAGACAACGAAAAGAAGAAAAACTGCAATTGATGGAAGAAAAATGGAAAAACTCTGAAAATGATAAAAAACGTTTATTAAAAGAGATTGAAGAACTAAGAAAAATTACATATGATATGTCTCAAGAAAATAGAGAGCTTTTAAGAAAACATAGTATTGATAACAATTATTACACACCTGACAGAAGTACAAGTGATAGTAGTGCTAGTACAAACAATGGTAAAATATCTCTAGCAAACAAAAACACTCCTTTATACAATTTCCCAAATAGAACTGAGTATGTCCAATTCATTTATGAGAATTCTCGTCATGTTTTAAATACTGATATTAGTGAGTTGTCTGATATGGAGTACAGAACTAATGATGGGGAGCAAGCAATGACAGTTCCTAAAACATGGGAGTATCTTTTAAAGACATTGCATGAAAAGGAACAAGAAGGATACACATTTGATACTTGGCATATTATGAGTGTGATGAAAGGAAATGAAGTTTGTCATGGGAGTGGTGCTGCATATATGAAATCCTTTGTTGATTCAGTTTTAAAAGACAACATGAGAGAATTATAACATATTTAAATCAATAATAATTATTACTATTCAATAATATTTTTTTATAAATTGCAATGCTTATATATTAAAATACAAATAATATATATACATATATATATCGTTAAAAAAAAAATTCAAAAAATTCAAAATTTCATAGTTTTTTAAAAAAAAAAAAAAAAATTACACATAGAAACAAGAATATATATAAGAGGTACATAAAAACTTGAATTTAAAACCATAATTTATTTTATTTTATCGATTGCATGCTTTTGTTTTTTTTGTTGTAATATTTAAAATAAATAATTCTCCATAACTAATTTTGTATCACTTTTATTTATATAAACAAAAAAGAAATATGGAGCAACTTGAAATTGTGAAATCAATATTTCCTAACCTCCATGAAAACTATATTAAACAGATACTGCTTGAAAATGACAATGATTTTGATATTGCTATTGATAAACTATCGAAGTCTAATGAAAAAACAAGTTATATAGATGAGCTGTCTTTAGAGTTCAATGAAAGTGACATAAAAGAAGACATCAAAGCAGAAAAAGTTGCAATGTGGTTAAATATATTTCCTCAATTAACATACACTGAAATATACAATGCAATATCTAATTGTAATGATTTTAATGATGATGAAGAATTGTTCGAAGAACTTAATCTTATTGTGTTTGATAAAGAAAATGAATCAGTTGAAACTATAAATTCAGAAGAGCTTTTGAGTCAAAGCATCGCAAATGAATTATTGATTTTTGAATATGATTTAACAACAATAGTTTCAAATAATTTACTTTCAGAAAACAATTCTACTTCAAGTACAACAAATGATATAATTAAAAAGAAAATAGACCAATTTGTAAGTAATTGTAAGATATCTACGGAACTAGCAGAATATGCTTTAGAATTAAATAATTATCATGTTGGTGAAGCAATAATTAATTGCATATTGAATTATCATAAATATGTTTCTGATTTGAAAGAAAAGTTTTTTATTAAAACAAGTGATCCAGTATTTAAATCAAATAGAGTTGTTCAAAGAAATACAAATTTGATTAAAAATACAACTAGTAATAAAATAGATTTGATTTCTTCTGATATTATAGAGAATGGGAGTTTCAATGAGAAAACTGATCCATTTAGCACAAATACTTTTATTAATAAAGACAAAATTGTTAAAAATGCATTGGATATCTGTAATTCAAAAATAACCAATGATAAGCTTATTAATATATTACTTTCATTTTTTAATGGAAGTGAAGAACAAACATTAAATTTATTAAGATTTTTTGAGGAAATGAATTTTTTAGAAAAATGTGACAATTTAGTTAATAAAAAGGAAGATATAGATATTAAGGAAATTTACAATCTTGAAAATTATAATAAGCAAAGTACAAACAAAAAAACTTATAAAAAATCATATACTGTGAAAAAATACTCTTTTGTCAAGAAAACAATAAATTCTAAATCCAGTAAAGCATTTTCTTTGGATAATACAGATAACAACAATTTAAAAATAGCATCAGAAGATTTACCTAATTACACTATTGATTTGCATGGGTTTAAAAGTAATGAAGCCATTTCTTTAATATCAAGTTCTTTAAAAAAATGGTGGAATGAAGAGTTACTACAGAGAGAAGCAAATGCTACAAAGGCTCATCACATTCAGTCTTCTAAAGCACAATTTGTTTCAGCTTTTGAAATAATCACTGGAAAAGGACTTCACAGTCAAAACGGATCATCTACAATCAAAATTAAATGTAAGGCGTATTTAAATAATAATAATTATACATATATTGAGAACTCAGGTTCTTTTATTGTTACAGGCAAAAAAAAGAAACTTTAAATAAATAAAAATTAAATTTAAAAAAAAAAAAAAAATGTAACAAAAATACTTCTTATATATATATATATATATTTTTTTTTTTTACTAGGCAAAGTGAAAAACTATGTAAGAAACTTTTTTTTTTTTTTTTCATTCATTTTTATTACTCATCTATAATATAGAAAAGTTTAAAAGGAAAACTTTATATAGCCAAAATGAATAATTGAAGTATGTCTAATAAAAAAATTAAAGCAAAAGAAGACTTTATTAACCAGACTTCTGAACCTTCCAATAAATCTTTTCATAATAACTTATATGCTTCAATGTCAAATGAAAAGCACAGTAAAAGTTTAACAAGAATAACTACACCATATCCTACAAATCTACTGTTAACAGAATTGAAACAGTATCTTTTTTATTTAATCACTTCTGATCAATACCCCTCTGAAAATGACAACTCAATTATACCTCTAGATCTTTTTTTGATATCAGATTCTTTGTTAGAGGAAAAATATACACAAAAGTTTAAAGATGATTTAAAGAATCTTACTTATTTAAAAAATTTATCATTCCTTTTCAATTTGAATAATATAAGTGATTTTCTAAGTCTTTTTAGACCACCTGTTATAGATTTTCCATTTGAAGATAAATTTATTGGGGTCCAAACAAGCAGGTTTAATACTGATCATAAGAAATCAATTCCTTTATCCATAATTTACTATTCTAACATAAATCAAACAATATTACAACATATTGAATCAATACTTTCTCTATTTTTTATTTATTTCCCTGAACAAAAAATAGGTCTTATTGAAGTTTTTGCCAAACAGTATAAAATAATTTTTCAAAACATTCAAAACAAATGTGCCACAGAGTCTACATTATTTTCTCAAACCCTGTATACAAGTGAAAACTTTTCTAAATACAATCAAATAGACACATATTATTTCAAAATCATTGAAATATTTGTTAACATTTATGTTTCATTGGATAGATCTTTGTCTCAAGATCCACAATCAAAGACTATGTCTGTGTTACTTGAAAAAAAAAATAATTATAATATGGCATTAGAATTCATGCATATGCTAAAGAAAGAAATTAATATAAACTCATGGATCCTTTACAATCTTCCTTTAAAATATTTTTTTGAGTTTTTCAATTTATACTTTTTCATTACTAAAAATCAATTTGAAAATTTGAGCAACCTTTATAGAGATCCCTTTTTAGCAAATTTTTTTAATTTTGTGAAAGATTTCATTTTAGAAATAACAGAAAAAACTTCTGAAAGTGTTAGTGCATCAGCTTGGAGAAATCTTTTATCACAAAAAATGAAAAACTCATATAATAAGATGTATTTTATGAATCCAAAAAGTTTAATATCATCAAATGAAAATACTATTTTACAAAAAAAGGAAAATTCAAGGCAAGATGGCATCAATGTTGAACTTCAAAATACAAATCTAGAAGATCAAATAGAAGAATCTGATCAAGCTGAAGAAGTAACTCTAGATGAAATGATTAATCATTATAAGCATATAAAAAACTTAAATAGTTCTAAAACTTCTTCTTCTTATATCAAAACAATAAAACAGCCAAATATCGAGGAAAGTGAAAACTTA